GGGGGGGGGGGGGGGGGGGGGGGGGGGGGGGCGAGGGACTTGTGTGAAACCGTCGTACTTCATCGTGGCGTTAGGAACAGCAAGCTCATCTTGAGACCGCCTTTAACGACCGCACCAACGAAAAAGAACAAAGGAAACAACACTTTGGCAACATCGCGAGCGACAGGCTCTAACCGGGAACAAATGGCGGGCACGGACGACAAAACGCGCGCAAAGGCTGTGCTGCTTGTGCGACATTTGAGGAACGGGTTCCTTCCGTCGGGTTTTGCGGCATACACACCACATGAAACTGCGAAATATCGGGATGTTCCCTTGCGCATGTCGCCTGCCGAGGGCTGGGAACTTCGATGAAAGTCTTGCGATTTTTTTTTCTGGAAAATATGCATACAGTACAACCACAAAAAGACTGGGACCCGTTCGAGACAAAACCACGGCAATCGAAGGGCATATGTTGAAGTCGTTTCTCCCGAGTTTGACAATCTACCTCTTCTGGTTGTGGAGCATCTCGATGAAGAAGTTCGTGTTCTGCTGCAGCATGCTCAGCTTGGACTCTATCTTGCGGAGGCGGCTGTCCATCTCGAACTCCTCCCGAAGACCTGTTGTCAAAAGAAAAAGAAAAAATCAAGACATGACAATTCAGTGTAAGGGAGCACGCGTGGGCCTTCTACAGGGCTGGTCTCCGTTGGAAGCGACGCGCTGCAAAGCTCGTTGTAAGTAAACTTGATCGACTTCATGAGTCGCGACGGAAGGAATTGCCGTACCCTTCTCGCGATAAAAATATCTCAGGCAGGAACCGCAGGAGGGGGTCCAACCCCCCCCTCCTATGTGACCCCGGTTGGGTCGTCTAGCTAGTAGAAGTGGAGGATAGGGGCCAGAGGGGCAGACGATAGAGTCCAATGATGGGAGAAACATATATATATATTTCGAATTATATATATAGGGCGGGTAGTTCCAGGCTGATTCGCCCGCCCTGTTCCGGGAACCGACCGTATTCTACGAGCAGCACGCACATGCACGTTGCAAGCTGTCAGCTATGCATACATGGCACAACTGTCATCATGTCCCGTCAAGCACCTCAGGGCATGAAACGGGCCTGTCCTGCCTTGATGATGAAGCAACTCGGCCATGTCTTACCTGTGCCCGTATCATGCCGTGAGAGACTCGGGACTAAAATAACCTTTGGTGCGTCTCTGTGAGGCTGTGTCGAACGTGTACCATGAAGCATGTTGTCGGTCCAAACGCACCTTGCAGCAAGACCGTCACAGCCTAGACTGCTACAAAACCAAAGTACAGGATCGGAGTTCAGAAGACCCTGCCGCGAGGGTGCTTGCCTCTTGGACGGCCTCGTCCACCCCTATCCATGTCGCATCTGCGGGGACCCGTTGACCCGTCGAACGACAATGCCGCAAATCATCCTCGTCTAGTTCGCTCGGACCGTGTGCGTCGACACAAAGCATGTCTCAGGTCCTGACGAACTCACCCTCCCGCACCTGCTCGCAAGTCCGGGTCCTCAAACCACAACAGTAACGATTGACTAGCTTGCCTTCCAAGCGAACCAAACAAGACGTTTAATGGTGTGCTCCCTCCTTTTCGCAATCGACAGCAGTTCACTCGCACGGGCAGTTCCTTTTCAAGCGCAACACCACAACGGGGCCGGAAGTCCACGCACCTTCCCACACGTAGTTGTAGTCAGGGTCCTTCCACGCCGCTTCCTGTCGCTCCAGAATGCCGAGCTTCGAGATCACGTCCGTCCGGACGGTGTTGTTCCTCGCCACCAGCTGAAATAGCTCCTTCTTCTGAGCCGCGGTGAACTTACCCTGGACGACGACCAACCACGGACGGGGGACTGTGTTGGGTTCTTACCGAAAAAAATTGCAAGCATACATGCGGCAGCAGCAGCGGGGGGCTGCGGCAAAAGCGACGGCGGCAATAGGTAACCTTGCCCCGACACGAGACATGTATGAGAAAATGAACCTCTCGATACCGTCTTGTATTTGCAGGGGACGTCGGACCAGTCGACGATGATAAGGTCCACAAGAACCGACGGCACCAAACAACCTCAACGCGGAAGGTAAACAACCGCCACAAGACCCAGCCACAGCGGCAACGGCAGCCGAAATTAACAGATAGCCCTGACTCACTCTCTTTCTCTCTCTCTATCCCTTACCGTTTTCTCCACCCCGCTGTTGATGGCGACGAACTTGGACATCATCGAGTCTACGAGGTCGCCGTAGTGATCAAGCGCCACCGTCTGGTCTCTCGCGCGCGGAGGCAAGGGGGGATCAACATCAAGCAGGGACCAAACAAGAACAGAGTACGACATGCGAGGGCTACCATGAGACTTTCACGTTTCTGCAACAAGCCCAGACCAGAGGAAGTGACAACTTGACAAGAAAAAACAAAATATACAAGGAAAGAGAGAAAGAGAAGGGAGGGAGAAGAAGGGAACGCAAATGCGTGGCGATGGTCTGGCATCCTGCATATCTGTTGTGTCACGAACGATACATTTCGTGTTTCGCATTGGTCGCCTCGTGTTTCTTGAATCACCGCTCGCTTTGTCACGTCATTTTCGATACCCTCGAGTCTTGCTTCACCAAGTGGAGGGCCCCCATCTATGGGTCACACAGATAAACCTAACTCCACTGCGGTGCGGTGCATGCCTCCTTTTATTTTATAGCGATAACAGGCCGGCAGTCCTCCCCGCCAAGTCCACGAAAATATCCAACGCCTTCAACACACACGATACACTTTCGATATTATCATGTCGGATACCACAAAAAAGAAAAAAAAGAAGGCGGGACATGGAGAACGATCACACCGCCATCTCAGTGCGATGCAAGCACGACAACAGACCACCGTGAAAACCACATCATCAAGATGTAAAGTCGGTCCGAGATATACCAGCAGGCAATTCTACGGTTATAACCATGGTAGTGTCGCTTGCTTGTTCCCGCATGCGTGGTGTCCGGGTCAGTCGTCCGCCTAGGTCTGTAAAAATTTCACTGGCAGCAGAGCCCATGAACGCTGCACGAGCCACATTTTTTTGCAAAAATACTATTTCCCTACCGT